TATCCGGCTCTGGCATGGGTGGCTTGAGAGAAGCCACTCTCCCACGCCATGCGTACACAGGAGTAGTCACGACCGGGCTGTCTGGAGAGTCTTGCCTGGCCAGTGCCTTGGCACCAGCCTTCGTAAGAGCGCCGCGGGGAGAAGTCTCCGATCCTGGCAGAATCAACGGACTCGGCGGCTCCACCGGGCTGCTTTCGAAAAGGCTCGCAAAACTCATCGGCGGACTCTCTTCCACCTCTGCTGTCGGCAAGTCCGGCTCTGTGAGGTGAGGAGACAATTCCGGGGAAGAGACCGGAGTCGGCAGCGCCACGTCGTTGGAGAGCTCCGTCTGCTCCGCCGGCAACCTTTGAACCCGGAAGGTCGAGTTCTCCATGTCCTGGTCCTCCATCTCTTGGTCCGGATTCGAACCAGACATCACGCCTTACACACCCTATTTGGCCTTCCGAGCATGAGCGGCTTTGGGCTTCGGGGTATTCACTGCCGGGACCTAAAAGGTGAGAAGACGCAACCGACCGACCGACGCACAAGCTACCTACACTCCTAGATCCTACTTCTCCTAAGGGGTGAGACGAGGCAACCGACGAAACTGCACTGCCTACGCTTCCCTTCTCTTCACTTTGCAAAACAAGCATAGAAGGATCTGGCTCTACATAGGTGCAAGCTTTCAACCACGACGTGTTGGCGTACAATTCTGTCTCAAAGCGCAGACCACCCGGAGGATAGGCTACGTGTAACTGAGGATCATAGTCATAATGAAAGATCCTAAAGCCTAAGGACTGCAAGATGCCTGAGCTAAGGATGCTTATCGAATTGGGAGCAATATACGCTTCCAGCTGCACTCGAATCTCTCTGTAAGTTTGGGTTCCAGAGGGCCCCGCTTCGAAACAAGGGAACCAAAGCTCTAGCAACCCATACCTAGTTATCTCCATAGTCTGGTCGTTGGCGACACTTACAAAGAGAGGCTCAACCTCAAGCTCTCGGATCAGCTTCGCAGTCACTCCAAGCATGTCTTGCGAAACAAGGTGAACACTCCCACCGCTATCAATCAAGAGATACGAGGGGTCGTCCCTAGTGACTGCAGGAAGTGCCAAAGTTGGAAAAGCAAGGCACTCTGAAGACCGATCCCGAAGCTGAGGCTGCGGCGCGGAAGCAAGGCTCAAAGCAATCACTGCTACGGCTACGCAAGCATACGTGAAACATGACTGCCGTGGGCTACTCAAGCATGCAACCAACCGACAAATCAAGCATCCTACCATGCAAAACATGAAAAACGTGAAAATCAAGGCAGTCATGGTGAAAAACTGTCCCCTCTCAGGCATTGCTTCAGAAATCTGCCCTGCCGCGGGCAACAGTGACGACATAAGGAGGGCCGCTTTGCCAATCTTCCCGGCACCCTTTGGAGCAGTGGGAGCTGGCGCCGCAGTCGAGGAAGGTGCAGGAGGGGCCACCTTGGGAGCGGCACTCTCTGTTGCCGCCGCTGCTGTCGCAGCAGCCTTCTCATCGGCAATCCTCTTCCTGCACTCGTTGGCCCAATGGCCCGGCTTGTGGCAGTAATTGCAGGTGCCCGGCTTCTTCTTCCCAGGAGCCGGCGTCGAAGATCGGGCCCTTCCGCCCTTCTTGCCACCCTTGCCTTTGTCCTTTCCCTTTCCTCCTTTGTCCTTGCCTTTGCCTTTATCACCATGCTTGCCTTGGTCCTTCCCGTGACCTTTTCCTTTGGGCTCGCCACCCTTGGGCTCACCCTTCTCAGAACGATCAGCACCAAAAGCTGCAAAGCCCTTGGCGTTCGAGGCTTCCTTGTGAAAGTTCAAAACACGAAGCTGCTCATCATAGAAAACCAAACCGCGCTCAAGCTGCTCCAAGGTTGTCAAAGACCCATGCAACAAAAGGTACTTCTTGCAATCATCATGAAGGTGCTTCAAGATGCAGCTGATAACATCAGCCTGCTGCAGTTCAAGGTCTGGGTACTTGTTGGCAACGAGCGTGCGGTAGCGAGCAAAATCAGAAATCATATGGCGAAAAATATCCAATGGCCGTCTCAAGTGCTTTGGTGGCGCGATCAAGAGAGCCTGCTCTCTGAGCGCCTGTCCCTCCACACGAGACCTAACAGACAGTTCTTTGTTCAACTCACGCCAGAGGTCGTACCCTGCAGCGGCACCGCCTTGACTCAACTCGACAAGCTTGGCTATGTCAACTCCTCGCTGAAAACCAGCGAGAGCCTGCTTCAAGAGGTACCACAGCTTAGTGGAACGAGCGGCCTTCCCCTTTGAGAGGCTGATCTGCTGAACCTGAACACCGCTCTCCACAGCCTCTTGCAGTTCCTCCGCGTAGCAGTCGTCTAAAAGACACAGCCAGGAGGTCAGTTCTTCGCGGTAAGCGGTCCACGTGGAGATTTCCTCATGGCGCGATCTCATCTTGTCTGCTGCCAACTTTGGCAGGGACGGAAATGTAGTTTTCCGCCCTGTTGCTGCGCAAGCCTGTGTCCACATCCATCTTCACAACACCATCAGAGTCAACTCTGATGGCACCCAGGCTTTCCAAGAGCTTCAGTCCCTTGGGACGAACTTGCAGCAACAGGAGCTGCACTTGCGGCCGAACTTGCAGCGTTTGCACTTGCAACGGCGAGCGTCTTCACCATCTCGGTGAGCTGCGAAATCTGGCCCTGCTGAGCTCGGATCTGTTCATCCTGGGCTTGCAACATCTGCCTGAAAAGGTTGACAGTGTGTCTTCTGGACTAGGCACAGATGCCTGCTGAGGATTCCCTCCTCCGTGAGGGAAAGTTGGTTGCGTTCCAAACTGAGGCTGCTGCTGCTGCTGAAAACCCTGCTGCAACGGAACCTGTTGAGGTACCTGTGGAAAAGGCACCTGAGGCACTTGACCTGCACTCACAAGAGGTCAGGGTCTACTCACAGGCCGGTGTGCTGTCGGACTGTTCCGAGCAGGGAGGGACCTTCCACGAGTCCGCGAGCCAGGTGCACTTCGAGGGGTTGAAGGAAAGCCAGAAGAAACTCCACTGGCACGACTAGCACTTCGCCCCGAACTCCGTCCTCTTGGGGAACGGTTGCGGCTAGGCTCGGCTCGTGGGTCCACCACGTTAAAACCCAAACGCGCCTTGAGGCACACTTCTAGGTCTAGTAAAAGGAGGTGCAAGCCGACTGACTGACTACGTCACGCAAGGCTACAGCAGTGAAAGCTAACAGCACTTTTTACACCTTTCGTCGCAACCAACTGCACCACGCGCTTGTCACGCAGTGCAATCTTGAGCCAAAGGGAAACGGGGCGCGGACAGAGACTTCAGCACACTCACTTCCGAGGTAAGTCCTAAGGACTCCTAACGGCTTCTCTGCACTGGCAACTCTGCTACACGGCCCAGGTGTTCCCCGGACTTCGTCTAGAAGTCCGCTCTCACAGCAAACAAACTGACAACACTGATGTTCATCATGCTTCAGGAAAGTTCAGGGAAACACCATTCTTCGTGAAAACTCGTAAGGAAAACTCCGGTTGGACACGCTTGCCTACAAAGCCGTGCCCTAGTCGGCGATCGTGTGAACAGACAAAGCACGGACAAGCTGCCACACAGTGCCAAAAAGTCAAAGGCTTCCCGCAACCGTTGTAAGGTAGCCCGCAACGGAAAGTGGAGTCGTCCGTTTGCAAAGAGGCACCTTCCAAGTTGCCTGGCAATGTATGTCACCGTCTGAGCCGCGATTAGAATCATCAGCATGCAAACGGCAGATGTCAAGCCCTTCCCTCTGTCCACAGGACCTTTTGGCACTTCCATCCTCCTTCAACCTGTGGCATGTAGAGCATGACGCACTGAACCGCCACTGCCTCTTAACTTAAACAAAAAGGAGCGGACCGGTCGGGTTTATTGGACTAGGATCCAAAGATCCACCGCCGGACAATCAGCCCAAGTAAAGGTTTGGTAGCCCTGTCGGCCACTAGTGTCCCAGTCGCGGTGGTTCGCAATTTTCTCCACCGCGCTGGCCACCTGCTTGAACCAAACCCTTACCGTTTCGTTTCCAGCATTTTGCCAGTAATGATGTAATTCGATCACAACCAGGTTGGCGCGCATGCCCAGGGCCGCCATGAGTATCACATCGATGTCGCTTGAGGTGAGCTTGAACTCGGAGTCCGCAGCCAAGTCGAAGTGACACAGGTCACCATGGCGAACGTTAATGTGGGGTCCTGACGCCTCCACATCATCGGCAAAGGCAAGCCGCCATAGCAGAAGCAGGTGTGATAATCCCATTTGACCTTGGATGTCCTGATGTTTTCGGCATGCCTGAAGCTGTGAGGAGTGCTTTTGAGTTATGAAGTGACTGCACGTTCGTTTCGTCTCGTTTCGTTAGTGCTTGAAGTGTTTTGCTTGGAGACAGACAGCTGCAAGGTGTTTCACTGTCAGTCAAAGCCCGACGCGACTCCGCTTTGGCTCAAGAAAAAAGACCGAGTGCTGCGCGCTCTGTTTTTCACATGGTAGCGGAGCTCCTGAGGATTTAGAAGGAGCTTTACAGCGCCATGGCCTCGCCCTTGCTCAGAACGTCCCTGTGCCTGAGACCTGTTTGGACCACAGTCCTGTTGGGTCGCCGACAGCTCAGCAAGCAGCAGCGGCTGCACCTGCGAGTGGTTCTGCAACAGTGCCAGAAGGTGTGAGTGGTCCGGCTGTAGCGCCGGCGGCTCCTGCTCAGTGTCCGGTTCCTCCGAACCCTGCGTTGGGAGGTGAACAACTGCAGCAGTTGATGTTGCAATCAGCGTTGGTGTCCAACAGGAGCGTATTGTGAAAAGCTTCGTTGCTCCCTGGGCTTGTAAGGTGTCCTCGACTTACGTCGTATTTCAACACCTGGCCCCGGAGCTGCACCGCATCCAGCAAAATCACCGCCAACACGCTCGCTGCCATCCAGGCAAAGATGGCCTTCACCGCCTCAGGAACCCAGCCCAAGCATGTGCGTAATGACGTGAACCAAATGGGCCGGCGTGCTGAACATAAGTATATTCTTAGATTCACCCTAAACCCTAAAGTTCCTAAAGGCCTTGGCCAGTAGCCACTTCTGGGCTCGCTCGCCTGTCAGCTCGGGCTTAGGGGCATCGATGGACTGCAGGGGCAGCATGGTGAGGACCAAGTACTCCTTGCTCTGGACCTGTGGCTCCCTCCACCTCTGAGAGCTGGCCGTGGCATCGTAGAGGTGTTTAGCATGCAGGCCCAAGCTTATGCAAGTCAGCGCAATACCTGAAAGCTGGGAGGTCTGGGACCAGGCCGGTGGCACACCTGAGAGGAAAAGAACAGTCAGAAGGAGCACCAATGCCCCAAAAAAGATGCTCAGTGTGTGCTGTTGGCCCAGTCGGAGTAACTTCTGCTCCTCCAGCAGTTCTTCATGCTGCAAACCACATTGGAAAGACCAAGTCTGTTGCAGCAAGACGACTAGGTGAAGGAGGCACATGCCACACACCAGACACGAAAAGCTCCCCGGCTGATACACTGCAGTGAGGCGAGCCATGGCTATCCACTGAGCCGACACGTAAGCGCCGAAGAGCACCATGTTCTTCTTGATCATCTCCACAAAGCCAGGAACCAGCACGCTGAGCGTGCAACAGTCTGACTACACTCATGATCTCAGGCTAAAGGTGGAATACCCGCTCCTCAACAGTTCTGAGGAGGTTGGCTTCAACTCTTCGGGCGAACACCAGATTTCCATTCCAGCTGGACCTCTCTACGGTCGTATCATGCTGTGGGCCATGGGGTCTTACAGGAACACCGCCTATGCCATACATGTGCTTCGTGTTGCACCAGCCATCACGGTCTCAGTCAACGGCTCCTTCAACAGCTCCATGTATCCGAAGTTGGCAGATGTCCGCTTCTCCGAATCACGCCGCCTGCAGCGGCTTGGCAAAGTCATAGTCAGAGGAATGCTTTAAGGGTGTTTGCAGCATGATATCCTGGTGTCAAGGTACTTGTTGGAAAACCCCGCATGGTACGTGCCGGATCTGGATATGGTTTCGAACTCCACGATCGAGGCATCCGCGGGAGGTACTGAGGTAGGATGACATTCCAAACACTTCAAGTCTGCCTGCTAAGGTCTTGATGAACTCTGTCGTGCTGGCGCCCCAGGGGCCGCTAGCGCTGGAAAGGAAGCACAGCCCTGTGCCAGTCTTGTCTGCAAGTCGGTGCAGCGACATTTGTGGAAACACCACAGCTGGCTTCGGCAACGACTGCATCTATGAAAAGGCAGGGCTGACATACAACAGACTGTCATGTCCATGCCTCAAGCGTGAGCAAGTGCTTGGGCAGGAGGTTGACTTGCCAGTGCCTCTTTGCCTTGGTCAGCAAACTTCGCAAAGACTTAACTTGGAGAAGTGCGATCTCAGCGTTGCCGGCAAAAGCTCGACTTTGCTGGAATGGCTTCAAGCAGCTTGCTTCAAGATCTGTCGTACATGGCCAATATCTGCACTCGTTCACAGAGCGGTAGGCTGGGGATTTGGTGTAATTACTTCTTATCTTCCCCAGGATGTCAACGTGAGTGGCAAGTTCGTGATGCTTGGCGATTTCAAGAAGGAGGGCGGCTCCATGCATTTGCCCTTTGAGGCTTCGGTTGTGGGCCTGTACAACAGCTTTCGCCTATCAGTACCATTGTCATCCTTGGCTGGCGGAGTGCAGCTGGATATTGCTGTGACCCAAGATCCCACAAGTTCCGAGGACTTGACCATTCCTTTGGTCATTGTCTCTCATCCCCCCGCTGTTCAGCTTCATCTGAATTGCTCTACGTCTGACTGCTTCTTCATGCCTGAGATCAACAGTGAGATCGCCCGTACGGAGTATGCTCTTTGCGGTGATGTGGATGCTGTTCACAGCGTGTCTGCTACCGTTGATGACCCGCGATTTAAGGTCATTCCACAGGAGTCACAGGAAGCAAAGCAGTGTACCGGCCAAGGTTGGGACATGAGCACGGAGTTCCGGGTGACTCGCGTGGAAGACTGCGCCTGGTGTGAGTACTACGTACCATGGGATGCAGGTTATGACCTCGTTGTGAGACGCTCCATCTCACTCTGCTTGAAAACTGCCGTGGACTTCGAGAAGCCCCACGCTTTGGAGAAAATCCTGAGACCAACGCGCCACAAAGGCCCGTATGATGTTTCGCTGGGTAGGGTCAGCACTTGTAGGTCATGCGTTGTGCATGGTCATGCCATGGCAGCGTGCGAGGCGATGAGCACAACAAGTGCGTGGACAAGGCAGGCCTCTTGGGTGATGCGATCCGAAAGACGCAGGACACCCAAATGCTCCGTGTACTGCTCAAGATGGATGCTGACCCATCTGCTCTCAGCAGGGGCCAGACTCCACTTCAGATCGCCGCTGCAACCCGGCTCAGGGCCATAGGGATGGCCAAAGGAGAGAACCGCGGGAGCTAGCAACACAGGGATGCCCCAGCTCCAGCATGTTTTGATTCCAGAAGTAAAGGGCAGGGCTCAGCTTCTGAGAGAAAGCCAACGCTGAAATCTCAAGGGAGCACCTCAGCCCACCGCTCTGCTTTCTGAGGCTCGTGGCTACCTTGATGCCATGGAGCAGCTGCTGAACAAAACGGCTTCGACAGACGGCTCCCTAGCAGCAGCAGCTTCCCACTGCCAAGTGGAGGCCGTGGAGATGTTGCAAACGTGTACCGCTCGGAGCTTCAAGTCCTTCAGAACCCTTCAAATTCTAGCTCAAATAACGGTAAGGACTCAGAAGACTGGGGCGAAGCAAGAAGCAACATAACTGCAGCAGTGGAAACCACGAGCAACGACACAGTGAAAGTGACGGTATGATGATACAACTGACTGTCTTGATGCAATCATGACAGCGACACCAACGCGCAAGCTAGGCAGAGGAAGCATAAGTCTCGTGCTGCTGAAGCACACCAGTACATCGCGGTGGTCCTGGAGCCGCCAGTGATTGGGGAAAGCGATTGCGCTGACTTGGGCAAGCATACGGGGCGTGGTTCTGAATGCTGGTCTTCTTCTGGTTTCCTGATGGTCTCCTGGTGGTTTCCTGGTGGTCTCGCGGTGGTCTTTGATGGTCTCTTCGTGATCTCCTGGTGCCCTGTTGGTGCTCTCTTGTTGTCTCTTCGTGCTCTCTTTGCGTCGGGTCCTGGTCGTCGTCGTCCCCCTTTTCGCAGTGCTCGTCGAGGGTGGTAACATGGCATACAGGCCGGAAAATGCAGATGGCAACTAGTTGTGACCTATGTTTTCCCAAGCAATTCAGGCCCGTTCGCACATGACAGTGGTCGCGACTTCCTGGTCCCAATGGCGGTGTCGTGTCGTCTTTCACTGTTTGCGGAGATCCTCGAGATCCGAATGTGGTCCAGGTAAGGCGAATCCTCTGTGAGCAAGAGCACACGAGTGCAAACCATGCACCGCACCACCGGCTGCATTCGGCGCAAACGTTATGAGATGTGGGGATACGCGGACCGATTTTTCACAATTTGCTTAGGATGCGGGGGGGGGGGGGGGTCCACTCGGTCAAAATATTGAACGGTCGCAGACTGTTATTGAATTGAAAATTTGCAAGAGCCCTTAAATTATTCAAGATCCCTGAAATGTTTACGATCTTCAGAGGCCAACGGCCTTTGCAAATCCTAGATGGCATCAAAGCTCTTTGAACACTTTGAGAAACAGTTTTTTGTTACAAAAGGCTCTTTCTGAAGAATGACCACATCTTAGTAGAAGGCCTCTTTTTAGTTAAACCTCGAAACACCAGAAGATCTTTCATGAATTCACCGGTCACCTCAGGGGTTCGTTAATAACCCTATCCTCAAACATCTTGAAGAGGTAGAAAAGAGATTTTTCAGCGGGTTAAGGGTGTTAAGATTTTCATTTAATTCCGCAGTTGCAAATTTGGGATTTGAGTTCAGTTTTCTATTAAAAGTCCCGTTTTCAAAAAATAAACATGCTCCTCAGCATCCTCCTTCCCAAACTTACGTATATCCTTTTGCTTTCAAGGTGCTTTTCTACATATTCAGAGGCACGTAAAGCCGTAAAGTCCTTAACGTCCTAAGAAGCTGAAGACACGTATTCAACATGTTAGGGATTTTGAGGATCATAAATTGAAAACCTTCTCGCCGTTCCCACATTCACCCATATTTTCCACGTTCAATTTTTTGAAAGGCCCCTTGCTTTCCTTAACATCCTCAAAGCCCTTAAGGTCTCTGAAGGCCAGTGTCCTTTTCAAGTTCCTCAAGCCCCTCAAAACTTCCAAGAAAGGAGGAAGAAGCAGTCGTCGTACATAGACCAGCTACGTACAAAGAACATAGGTGTTCCCGCCCAACAGTGTCAGGCCATGCAGCTTCTGGCATCACGAGGCAAGTCCGAGGCGAAGACATGCCAGGAGTCGCTAAAGTGGAGGATGATATGGTTTAGGGGTTTTAGGGTTATAGTGTTTAAAGATATATGATCTCCAGTACAGTTACAGGGTAAGATCATTTTTGTCACTTAGTCTTCGGTGTTTGTGGAGAACAGGTCCTTGTGTTACGATTTTCGCGCCGTTTCCCAGGAGTCGCCCAGCTACAATGCCTTCGAGAAGCAGTCCTGGTTCAGCTGTAGACACCGGGCGAAGCTGCAGCAGGTCCTTGATTTGCTCGAGAAGGGTACGACCTATGTTGCGGATGCGCAGTGCAAGGGTGCCTCCAATTCAAGGTATGCTTTTTGTTGGCTTTAACAACGCAGCTGCTAGACTGTGGTTCATTGGGCATAGCCAGCCAAGGCGACAGGCTGAATGCAGCCATTTACCAGAAAGATCTTGAGGTTGTGCGCCTGCTTCTGGAAGGAGGCGGGCGCTGGAGCTGTGAGTGAGAGTGGGGGCCCGCTGCCCTACCACTGGTTCAAGACCTGCTAGAGGTTGTCGCATTGTCCCTGGAACTTGTGAGGGTCTCTAGGGTGTGGCTGCGCTCTCGCATGTGCCACCACTTGCGGCAGGTGCTGATGCAAACTTGTCAGACGGCATCCACACTCCTCTCGGCCAACTGATGTTCGAGCGCTGTGAGAGAAACCCTCCGATCTCCCTCACCGACTTCAAGAAGATCGCAGAGGTGATTCTCATCGCACTCAAAATTATGCTGTTAGCATAACTAGAACAGCGGTGCTGGTTGCTAGTACAGTTGCTATTGTTCTTGTTGTAGTTGTCGTCATCCCTTGGTTGTCGCGCGGTCACCGTCGTCGCCCCCTTCGCGGTGGCCGTGTTCGTGGTCGTTCTGCTGGTGATGGGGGTGATGGGTTGTGGTTGGTGGTGGTGGATGTTGTCGCAGTCGTTGTTAAGTTGTTACTGTTCCATGTTTCCGAACAGCGGAGTGATTGAGTCTTCCGCCTTTTTTTGTGATGGAAGTTGGTCGAGCTGCTCAATTCTCCACTTAAGGGCAAGTAAACAGAATCTGAGATGGATGGAGACTACTTGAGAAATTGAGAACCAGATGGAGCATGTAAGCCATCGAGCCATCGTAGTATATCGTAGTTTCCATGTCATTTCCCCTCAACCTGCCATGTCAAGGTGCTGAAAGAGCATGGAATGAACATCAACAACCCAGACGACGAGGTCCTGACTTATGCTGCCTCCAAGTGCGATCTGGAACTGGTGGAGGCCCTGCTCCAGCTTGGCGCGGACCCTGCAAATCCCGATGTTGACGATCCCATCGCTGAAGCCAAGGAGGAGTGTGGCAAGGACACGGAGCCTAGTAACAGGAGTCTTTGAACTGCCGAAAGCTCCCAACTTTCCCTCACAAGCTGCATTCCTGCAGCAGCCAGGAGGCCGAATCCTTCGAGAAGGTTCTGACGCGAGCCAAGAAATCAATGCAAGACAAGCTTGCTAGCTAGTACGGCGGCTGTTCGCAGTGCAGACAGCGTTTAAGTTTTCAAAACTCGTGGGGCTCCAAGTCTACAGTCAGTTTCGGAGGAGGAGCAACAGCAGTGGCGGTGGCAGTAGTGGTGGTCGTGGTGGTCGTGGTAGTAGTAGTCGTAGCAGTAGTAGGCGGCCCCCCCTACCAACTACCCCCTTTGCATGCATTGCTTTGACAGCCTCGAACAGTTGTGACCACCCATTTTCAAGTTTTCGCTCAAAGTCCTCGCAAAGTCAAAAGACAACCCCACCCCCCGCCAAAAGCAAGTCCAGAATCGGATGCTGGAGTTTGAAAACTCGTTGTTAGTAATGGAGTGTGACATGAGCATAGTCCAGAGGTAGGCTTGGCGACTATATAAGATATCAGACGTCGCTAAAGTACTGTAAATACAGAGTAAAGTGGCTCTTCCGGAGATGATGTCCGGGGTGTCGGCGTGACAATGTCGTCATCATTCTTCCGGCACTCTCTCACCCCCCCAAAACAAAAAGTCCAGAAAACGATCCCGGAGTTTCAAAACTCGGAGGTGATTTTTGAGGCTTCATAAGATGTTGCTACATGCCGAAAGTGCTGTAAATACCGAGTAAAACGGATGTGTTTTACAAGCGTATGTAACATGAGGTAGTGGGTAGGGGGGGGGGGGTGGCTAGTAGTAGTAGTAGTAGTAGTAGTAGTAGTAGTAGTAGTAGTAGTAGTAGTAGTAGTAGTAGTAGTAGTAGTAGTAGTAGTAGTAAGTAGTAGTAGTAGCCGCCACAAGTGCTCAAGCGGCCGCGCTGAATGAGAGGTTTCGAACAGGCTTGGGGCGCAACTGCTGTGCTAGAGGTTCCAACCGGGCCCTTTTCTGAACAGTAAAGGTTTGTGCCTCCTTCTACGCCATGGTCCTCTCCCTTTTCTCACAGGAGCTGCTTTGAGCCGCCAGGTCCCAATTCCTGGGCCCAGACTCTGTTTAAAACATTGCAACACTGGGTAGGCGGTAGGGTTTCCACTTCCGCGCAGTGGAGGGAGTCATTAGGCTTCTGTCTCTTGACGAAAGTAGCGGATGGCGCAACTACCAGTGCACTCACAAAACTTTGCATCTCTTCGCAAGAATTCGTTCAAGACAGCATGTAGACGGACAATCAGAAGTGACGGACCCGTACCATACCGCGGACAGGTTCTGACACCGACCCTAGTCAACCAGATGGGGGTGCGGCCCCCACCGACTCGAAGAGAGCTTCAGTCACAGACTGCTGACTCCCCTGCACATGGCACAGCCTCCCGCAGGGCAGGACGACTAGAAAGATCCATTCGGGTAGTCTCTTGGAACGCGGGGCACCTAGGTCAACAGCAATGGGGAGAACTAAAAACGTGGCTGGCAGCTGAAGCCTCCCACCACTGCGACGTCCTTATCCTGCAGGAGACGCACTGGACGGAGACTAGCGAGTTCACTGTTTCAGGTTGGCATTGCATCTCTTCGGCCTCGGAGTCTGCCAAACGTAGCACCCAGCAGAAGCAGGGCGCGAAGCGCAAGACTAGGCAGGAACCGAAAGCGGCTCCATCCACGACCCGGGCGGACGGCGTCATGATTCTCTTCTCACCCAAGTTTACAGCCAAGAGCCTTCGCTGGAAGGAGTGGAGTCCAGGCAGGGTCCTTGAAGCTCGTGCAGACATGGCAGGTACTAGGCTGGTCATTGTGGCTGTGTATCAACATGCTTGGTCCTCGGCCAAGTCCATCCAGTCTAACAAGGACGACCGTGCTCATGTACTATCAGTCATGTCTAAGGTGGTCAAGCAGGTGCCCAAGCGGGATTCTCTAGTCGTGGCAGGCGACTTTAATACCTCCCTGCGCTCGTGTCCTCCATTGGTGGGTACACACGTGAAGCAGCCCACGGAGGATCGTCCTGACGAATCCCAC